TTGCAAGAAAGTTGCACCCGGGGGGGGGGGGGCCTTTCACCTCCCGTAACACTTCTCACTGCTCATTCTCCTGAGGTTAAGTCAGTGCTGCAAGAATACGAGCCTCCAATTTTGCCCAGAAGCTCTCAACTATCACATTCAGCCGTTTTAGGATATCTTCAACTGCACTCTGTTGGATGTTCAGGGACTGTGCATCCACCATCTTGAGGAGGTCCACTGCGGTCTAGGCTCGTACCAGTGCAAGTGCTTGAAATCAGCAGAGGTATGTGGAGCAAGACAGTGAGGACCGGGATAACCCACACCGGTCCAGAGGGGGGCAGCTATGTACTGTTGTTGCGTTGAGGGCCGGAGAACTGGGAGAGTGACCGCCTCTCCTCAGCTCAAACTCTGGTAGGCCACAGGACTTGATCCGGACGATCCGGTGCTGGAAAAGCTTGTGTGAGGTATCCACTTGTACACCAACACCTGCTTAACAGGGTGAGTATTGTTTGTGGTCAGATTGGTTGAGTGGCCCCCGATTAGACCCAGATTATCGGGGCCCTTTCACCTCCCGCACCACTTCTCGCTGCTCTTTCTCCTGAGGTTGAGTCAGTGCTGCAAGAAGACGAGCCTCCAATTTTGCCCAGAAGCTCTCCACTATCACATTCAGCCATTTTAGGATATCTTCAAATGCACTCTGTTGGATGTTCAGGGTGTCATACACATAAAGGGACTGTGCATCCGACATCTTGAGGGGGTCCACTGCGGTCTAGGCTTGTTCCAGTGCAAGTGATTGAAATCAGCAGAGGTATGTGGAGCAAGTCTTTGGGGACCGCGATAGCCCACTCCGGTCCAGAGGAGGGCAGCTATGTACGGTTGTTGAGTTGAGGGCCAGAGAACTGGGAGAGTGACTGCCTCTCCTCAGCTCAAACTCTGGTAGGCCGCAGGACTTGATCCGGACGATCAGGTGCTGGAAAAGCTTGTGTGAGGTATCCACGTCTGGTCTGCTCAGCATTCAAGCTCCGCCCCCCACAAATAGCTCATGCTTTTTATTAGTGCTGGTGTCACATGAATGGCTAGAGGTTTTACACATGATTATTAATTTTAGCTAACTCATTTAAATTGTTTTTCTATTTTTAATTGGATTAACTCCCCTGTAGGAAATACAATTGATATGGTATGTGTGGCATTAACAGCATGGTGATCCAAAAAGAAATATGACTGCCCTATTGGAGACAAGCATTTTTCACAGTTTGGAGTATTTTTTTCAACCACTGTTACTATATTGCTTTTATGGGGGATATATTCACATGTACTCATTATTAGAAACAAATACATTTTTTAAATATGGAAATTTAAAAGAAAGATATAAAATATGCCTTGTGGCATTCCACTATATACATCAATGAACATGTAAATGGACCCTTTAACAATGGCACTGAGCCATAATTCCATCTTGTAATTCATCATAGGGGGAGTGGGAGGTGCTGAGGGAGTTTGTTTCTAACTTTATGGCTGTATAACAAATTACACCAACAGTCAAGAGGTGAAGTCTTGCAAAGATTTAGTAACATCCAAAATTAACAAGGAAACTCAAGGGGATAGTAACTGCGTGTCTTGTTTTTTTATATACTGGTGGTTTTAGTTATTGTTTTATGACACACATTACAATACATCTATGTATCAGCCAATTCTACATTCAATTCAATCATAGCAGATACTGTAAAATACCCTTCTGGTTAAAAATCGAAGAAAAACAAATGTAATTACGTGTGCTAATCACTGAATCGTATTGAGCTCTAGTCTTACTCATCTGTAAATATGAATAACTATCAGTAACATCCTTTTTGATAATGAGTGTTCAAATCATAAATAGCCTCTACTTAAAAATGATGCTAACTCGCATCTCTCACTGTCAATAGAATGAAACAGTCATTGGACAGTTATCAAGTCCTATCAATATTTGATGAACAGGATCAATACGGATCCTGTTTCCCACAAGTGAGGCAAAGAGAATAAGCCAGTGGACAGTGCTAGATAAAAAGTGTTGAAATCGTCACTAAATGACCCCATTTGCAAGGAGTGAAGAAGTAATGTGTGAAAATAACAAACCAGCTAAAAGTGCAAAGATGAGGTCAGGTCTACAGAGGAACATTCATTCTGCTAGTAGAGGAGAAGGAGTGCTGTATACAGATATGATATTGTATTTGTACACAGGAATTTCCTCCCATAAAATGGCAGAATTCACAAGTGTTTCACAGTAAACATTTCACATAAGCTCCAGTTCCAAAAGCAGTACTTGTTTAAAGAACCACATGAAACATCAGTGATAGATCACAAATCTTTAAATACATTTTAAAAAATACATTAGACAAAGTGGCATATAGGTAGAAGGAAACAAGCAAACACCTGAAACTGTTTGTATTTGTTCGAAATAGTCCATACATGTTTCCACAATGCCAAAAAGTTGAGTGAAATTTTATGTATGCAGAACTGGTGGAAAGTAAAGCTCTGGAATAATGTTGACTAAAGACTTGGTCAAACTCGCTAGAAGTTTTGATTGACATACAAAAGAGCATGTATCAAGTTGTAAAGAAAACACAGGGAATATTTCCTGCACATATGCTCTAAGCCATGGTCTGTATTTATGTATATTACTGTATTATATTGTATAATTCAACAGCACGGACTGGAAAAGTTTTTTTAAGGAACATTTGAAGATGCATATTAAAACTTACAGGCCTGTACTATAAGTCAATATAAATAATAAGGTAATGGGCAAAGACACTCATATATAAGAATGTTTAGTGTGTATATAAGTGTACACCAAATAATTTCTTAGTATATTTCTTTTATAAAGTGCTAACAGTTACTGATTTTAATAACTCTGTTACAAAATGTTTTTTTATATATTACTGTTAAAGGGATTTTATACTGACTGGAATACAAAGCACCCCCCCCACTCGCACCCCCTCCCCTCTCCGATGCGGTACATAAAGGGTTAAAAACCCTTTGTTTACTTACTTGATCTTGTCCCTTGCATGCACACACATTAAGCCTCCCCATGGCAAAGCACTGAACTTGTGCCGCAATGTTTTAATAGGGACACTGCACCCAGATTACTTCAATGAGCTAAAGTGGTCTGGGTACCTATAGTGTTCGTTTAAATAGAGATATAATATTTTCATTAGGTTGAAAGTTACAAATGCTACAAAGATCAGTTGATAAATAACCAAAAAAGGTTGCAACAAGCCAACACGCATGAAGCCAACATGCATAGTGGAATGTGCAGAAAAGTCAAGGGCTGCAATGTATCTCAGGGCAAGCGAACAGACCCTGAACATCAAAAAAAAATACTCACAGGTTGAAGATTTGAGTTTCCAGGACGAATGTCCTGTAGGCAGGAAGAGCTAATATTGTCACAGACTAGGTGGAACAATCTATGCAAGCTGGGTAAAGCATTCATGGTGGGTGCAAGGTCATGGTTCCACCTACATAGAGAGATGAAAGGCTTAGAGGAAATATCTAATTATTTATCACATTAACTAAGATTAATTACATTTTAAAGATTACCATCAACATTTACAGCTAAATTTACAGAAGTGAAAAAGCTATAGACAAGTTTATAAGAATACAGTTAATTACCATGCTCTTTATCTTGAACCACATAATGAACATTGAATATTGATGCAGAAGGGAATACACCAGACAGACTGATAGGAAGGACAAATCAGTCCTTTATTACTCTGTGAAAAGGAGGGGGTAAGGGCTGCGCTAAAATATAGAAATTGGTATCGTAGAAATCAGACCCAATGGCCTGAATAGATAGACAGCAATAATAAGTAAGATAGTCTCTATTGAAACTACAGAAAAAAAGTAATATAAATAAAGTCCATCCAAGTAGTATAAATGTTCAATAAAAATTAATTAAACGTCTCCCTTATATTTGGATAGGTTATGTTTACAATCCTCAGGAGTGGATCCATCCAGGTTGTAGATAGTCCGTATATGTGAAGAAAAAACACGACAGACTGCCAATGGTGAAATATTGTAGATCCAAAGGTAAAGTAAATAAAAAGGAGGATAATATACTCACATTTGGCGAAGCTTAGGCCAGCTCTAGGATGGAGGGCGCTTAGCGGTATGATCCCCGCTAAAAGATATAATGGAGGAATGAGTCCGTCCGTCCTGCTTGGTTCCGTCGTACTCCACAATATATGTATAAAAAACAGCAATAGTGCTCTCAACTGGAAAATAAATAAAATAGTTAAAATAAAATAAAATATACTCACAAATGTAGAGCAGGAAATACTGCTCTGTTGACACAGCTCTGGTGGAATTATCCCCACCTATGGATTTCTTGAATCAGGATACAATACATTGCCAGGAAAAATGTAAATAAAAGTGTATATAAATTACAATAAAATAAATGGAAGATTGGCCCTATAGAAAAGGGAACCAAATTTTTTTTATTGTTTTTAAAATACACAATATAAAACCATTAACGTATTTCACCTTTAAGGCTTTATCAGAATGGTAATAGAACAATAAACCTGGCATGAAACAGTATTTATAAGAATACACAGTGGTTAAAATTGGCGCCAAAAAACGATTCCACCAATTACAGACAAGTATTAAAACACATTTTTAAAGCATAATTAAAACAAGTTGAATCTTTGCAGTTGTATAGGCAACACTTTAGAGTACCAAATAATATATTTATATATAAAAAACGAGGCTTAAATATCGATAAATTTTATAAGAGTTGAATATCACGTGATTGGGAATAGATAGGGCAATGGTACATGGGAAATGTAGTACAAGGCAGTAAACAACGAGCGGCGGGTGGCTCGCTCGTAAGGGTAGTAGGTCACTCCCAGCAGCACATGACCGGCATGTAGGAGCTAGTCTCCTTGGGAAATGTAGTCATGCCGGTCACCGTGCACGTGGTAGGAGCGGCGAGCGGCCGGCTTAAAACTGACAAGAGTCGTTCACACTCCTTAGAGGCTCAAATACGGATAGTGAAGGGGACTAAAAAATTTATAGCAGACCCTCCCTCCCAGACCCTCCCACCTCCTGGACAGCATCCATTTTGAAGCTGCATTCTTAGTGAGCTGTCCAGGAGGTGGGAGGGTCTGGGAGGGAGGGTCTGCTGCTGATTGGAATGTGTCTGCTGACTGTGAGGTACAGGGTCAACGTTTACTCAATGATGAGTCCGTGGCGAACCGTTCGTGGCGAACCGTTCGTGGCGAACCGTTCGCGAACCGTTCGGCGAACCGTTCGGGACATCACTATTGTCTATCTATTCAGACCATTGGGTCTGATTTCTACGATACCAATTTCTATATTTTAGCGCAGCCCTTACCCCCTCCTTTTCTCTTATCTTATTAAGGGTTTTGAGGGATTCCTTTTTTAGGGTTGCTGCTTACACCTCTGTTACTTAGCGCAGACTCTTCCCCCTTGTTTTTTACTTTATACTCTGTGCCTGCGCACAAATGACAGCTTATTGCACACATCTACGAGTTTACATACATGGAAACACAGAAAAGAATACAACTATCAGGGCTCCCGTTAGCCAACACTTCACTAGACGAACAATGTATTTCCTTAAAGTAAAGTGTTAAAGAGACACTCCAACCTCCATAACAATGTAAGACGTTTACAGTGGTTGTAGTACAAGGTGCTTCATGTTTCAGTTTTCTTTAAATGTATTCTTTAGAGCTGAATAAATTTGTTAAATTATTGCAGTTACCTGCACCCCAAATAAACAAATGATGTCTTTGTTGTGGAATCCACTGTAGCAATGGTAACAAAAATAAAATAGAATCAGGAGTATATTGGCACCTATATGTCCTTAGTCCGGTTAAATAAACCTCATGACAGATAGAGGCTCATTATTTAAACTATTCAAAAGCATTTTTTTTTTAAATTTCCATTCATTAATATTTATTGTTTTTCATAAGTCTTCCGATGCAATAACGTGTTTGTAAGAAAATATATAGACATAACATTTCTTTTTATCAAGATTGTATGAAATCACAGGTGTATGCCAACAAAACTGTCAGCCAGATCCCCAAACATATGCAGATGTTTAAGCAAAACCTAAGTCAAAGTAAATAGCAGATTTCAATTGATTTCTGACTGAGCAGTTCCTTAGGGTATAATGGAGTCCATTATGACATATGGATATATTATTTTCCTTTGTATGTAGTCCTGCCGAAATGATTCCACGAGTTAAGTAGCTCCAAAAAACCTGCAATATTTATACAGATGTGGGAACTTTGGAGGAGAATTCCCCTGGTGCCCCCCTTCCTCGATTCTCTCTCTTTCTCTCATCACTCTCATCCATCTTGCTAAACTCTCATTTGTCCTTCTTTTCCGTGGATTAACTAGAAATCATAATGCAAACAAACATTCTCCTCACAAAAATAAGGCACTTATTCATTCTTCTACAGAGCGCCAGCTTTTCCATAAATATGTTATGCAGACAGCATTTGTTGAACCTATTTCCCAAACTACTTACTCAATACTAAGATGTTTTCCATATTGTTCTTAGATTTCACTGCACAGTGAAGAGAAAGTAATGAAATGTTTGTTTGAATGGGGAGTGCATATAGGTGTACTGCTGCTCACCAAAATCAATTATAAGGTTACGTGATCAAAAACACTTTGATCAGTGCTGCAAACAAAGACTACATTGTATATTCTAAATTAGCACGTATACATGTATTCAGACAATTCTATCTATCTATCTATCTATCTATCTATCTATCTCTATCTCTCTGTCTGTCTTTCTATCTGTCTGTTTCTTTCTTTCTTTCTGTCTGTCTGTCTATCTTTCTATCTGTCTGTCTCAATCTATCTTCCTCTACCTCCCAGTTTATCTCTCTCTCTCTTTCTCTACCTCTTCCTGTTTAAAATGTGGAGATTAAATCATTAGTAAAATTATCCAAGTCAGACTTTTAAACATGTGTGTTGAACTGTACACTGATTTGTCGCCATCTCATAAATTTGGCAAACTTGCATGGGAGAAGTACTTTTAAAACGACTAGAATTATCTTTGCAGGTTCAATTCCAGGCATGGTTGACTCAGTCCATCATCGTTCCGAGGTTGATAAAATGAGTACCATTAAATTTGGCAACAGTAACATCCCTCAGGCGTAGGGCAAAAGTAGCATCCCCAGGACGTTCTTAGAAACAAGAGAATATCTGAATGTACATTTCCTGGTTAGACACTTTGTTTTTATTATTATTATTAAGGCTTCCTGGTTTTGCCCTGAAAGTGTACTGGTCTTTCCCAAAGTATACAGAATCACTTTAAAGGGACACTATAGTCACCAGAACAACTACAGTTTACTGAATTTGTTCTGGTGAGTGGAATCATTACCTTCAGGCTTTTTGCTGTAAACACTGTCTTTTCAGAGAAGAAGCAGTGTTTACATTACAGCCTAGTGATAACTTCACTGGCCACCCCTCAGATGGCTGCTAGAGCTGCATCCTATCTCAGTCTTGCCTAGTGTGCATCTCAACATATCAGTATCTCCTCCCTCTGCATGCAGACACTGAACTTTCCTCATAGAAATTAATTGATTCAATTCATCTCTATGAGGGGATGCTGATTAGCCAGGGCTGTGTTTGAATTGTGCTGGCTCAGTCCGTGATCTGCCTCCTTCACAGTCTCAGCCAATCCTATGGGGAAGCATTCTGATTGGCTCAGAATAACACTTCTGAAAATGTCAGCAGACAGCTTGCTGGTATGAGGCAGACAGAGGCAGAGCCAGCAACTTCAGGCTTGAATACAAGTAAGATTTTACTATATTTAGGGAGGCAAGAGAGGGCCAGGGGGCTAGATGGTGGCTTTAACAATATATGTTTGTGTTCCTGACCCTATAGTGCTCCTTAAAACACAAATTGCTACTAAATGTATTGATTGTAAATGTCCTTACTGAATAGTTTTTGGGTGTTTTAAATATCACAATAGCAAGTGTCAAAAGTTAAAAAGTCAAAAGTTAAAAAAGTATTGTCAAAAAATGTCAATAACAATAATTTGGGATGTGCATGGGCAACAAATTTGGTTCGGTTCAGCAATTCAGTTCAGTTCAGTTCTGCAATTCGGCACTTCCGAAATTCGGGACTTCAGCTATTCCCTTACCCTTACCCTACTAGTAGGGTTACGGTTAGATTCTTGTCATCTTTCCCTTAATTTTCCCTCCCTCTCCTGTTCTGCCACTTTTCAGAAAACTGAAGCAATTCGGCACTTTGGCAATTCGGGACATAGCCTATTCGGTTCGTTACTTCGGAAATTCAGCAATTCAGCAATTCGGACATTTGGAAGCATCATTGTACATGTCTAACAATAATAGTCTGCATAATAATGCCAGTTATTCGAACTATAAGACGTGTCGGCAAGAATTTACTGAAGAGGAAGAGCAGCATAATTGCATAGCCATGAACAGCCTTGATAAGAATTCAAAGAGTACAACAGTACACTGCAATAAAAAATAGTATAGTAAAAAGGTAAAAAAGATAAAATAAATCAAATATAGGGTGTCTAAAAGAGTCCCAAATAATAGGGACTTAGTAAAAGCAAAACTGTCAATCTCTGATAATTAAGAATTTCTGACTGTCACAAAAGACCCAACATCGCCATAAGTTTAAACTTATTATTATTACTTTTTACAATGGATGGTAACTCTCTGTCATCAATGTCAACGATTCTGAAATTCAGAGGACAACACAGTGATATCTATAATATACTAAATATCAGTTTTGCAAGTGGGACCTGTCCAGTCTGGGACCCACTTTGATATGTGAAACTTCAAGGCCCAGTCGCAATAGCACCATAGACCATTGCAACCCTTGTAGTTCCGCCATTGACAGCATACCCTGGTGACATGTGTGTGACAAATGCTATGTCCCACGAACGTTTACCATGGACTTCTTGAGGAGTGTGGAAGCTGGCCTCCTGCCCACTGACTATGGTCCAGGTCTGAGACACCATTTGGGAGTTACCCTGCCCAGCTGCCATTTGCAGCTTACCCTGGGTGCCACTGGTTCGGCACTTTCCCTTCTCACGAGGGAACTGAACACTAGCTCCCTGGTAGCTGTTCGGATAAACCAAACACACAAATGGTTCTCAGTGGTACTTAGCCGCAACCAATATGGAACTAATTTTGGCATGAGGACTTTGTGGGTCCACGGTCACCTCAGCGGGACTGAGTTGTGAACATTATGGAACCATTTTTGGCATGAGATGACCGTAGGATTTCCAGACATCTTGGTCCATGGTTTTGAACCACTTTGCAAATGGCAAGGAGAGCACTTTTTGGAGGGAAGGTGCCTGAGACTAAGGGGAACAAACGCTACCTGAGAGCCAGGTGGAGCACTGCGTATTTCTGATGCAGGAGCTCCAGAAAGTTGACCCAATTATCTCCCAGGCCCAGAGATTCTTGGGAGGGGCTTGTGTTGAATACAATGGAGACCCCATGCTTGGATCCTTGCATAATAGGCCAAGTTTGGCTTATTAAAATCAGCTGTACTCCAAGAACTATGTGTCAGCACCTTGTTCCAAAACATGGAGGATTCAGCGGGGAAAGTCCTTGTAAGCACTAGAGCTTCCAGGACTGTGTGTCATCCAGTCTCTGGGAGATAATATAGCTAATTCCCTAACCTGTTCCAGGATGTAGAGGCTCTAAGAGGACCCTAGTCAAGCCACGGCGATTAGGGCAAAAGAGTGTCAGTTTTCCCCGGTTCTAACTAGGAAGCGATCCTTGGCCGAGGTACTCAGCTGGGGTACAGGGAGCTCCGCTACAATGTGAACATATACAACATATTAATTCAACTTGTAGACCTTGTCCTCCATCCGTTTTGCAAATGACAGTTGTAGGTGAAGGCTCTTGATTTCACTGATGTTTGCAGAACCTTCGGAGCAGTGTCTCTTTCTTCATGGAAGAAGACTATGGAATCTTTCTAAGAAAGTACAGGAAACATGATTTCAAATCACTGCAATATCAACGCATCTAGCTTTGGAAAATGATGGGAAAATATGTTAATATTTATCTCCTTAAAAATAAATAAAGTGATTCAGTTTATTGTGACATATAAAAGTATGCTACTAAGGATTAAATGCATAAAAGAACATGGCATAGAATCATAATTTGTAAGCCT